CAGCTGGACAGGTGCGCCGAGTGTATGATCACCATTCTGCACTGGCAACCTGAACTCCTGGGCCTCAAGCTGATTCTCCTGGCCTCTTGAGCTCTACAAAGTGCTGGCATGAGCCACGCGACGACCGCGGTGGGCAGCGGTAGATTGAGCGCGAATATCTAAGGAAAAACGCGATCCACAATGGGGTAAAACAGTGGGCTTCAGTTTTCTCCAGTCTGCAAAACGAGAGAGACTAGACTGTTCGTCCCTGGTAGGCATTTAACTTGTCTGAAGCATTCTAGATTACTCTGGTGAAGAAAGTCTAGTAAAGTCCGGATCGTCAGAGGCCTGAAAATCCCGTAGCACCGCTGCCAGGCAGTGATGCCTCGACAGAGGCTACTAAGCGACGAAGGTATGCGTCCGAGAGGCACTCACCGAACGCATGGTGGTCGCGAGCTGATAGGCACTCCGAACCGACGTTGGAGACGCCAGGTGAGCGTGAGAGCGACCGCCTGAGCCCCGACGCGATTTCTGAGACAGCTGGGGCGGCAACATGATGGACGATCTGCGGGTGTCGTCATTAAAAAAGACAAAAACAGTCGAAGTAATATTCAGACCTGCTGTGTGTACGAGGGCAGAGCTATTACTAAACAACAAGAAAACCCTACGCAAGAAGCCAGAACTCACGTCAAGAAAGGGGAAACTGTAAAATAGACTAATCTTGGTACAGACTCAATCAAGAGTTCCTTAACAACAACAAAAAGCGATGCAGATTTTAACAAAGGGCAAGGGACGTTGAATAGACGTTCTGTCAAAAGACATACCCATAGGCCATATACAAATGGCTAATAAGCCACATGAAAAGAGTTCCACACATCATAAAGTAATTATGGGAAATGCAAGTCAACCGAACAACAGTCGAGATACCAGCCTCATACCCGAGTAGAGGGCTACGATTCACCCCCCGTAGCAAAACCCAAAAACCAAAAAGATTGGGTCCTCAAAACATTAAAAGAATGAGTACAGTTATCGAGGCTCGATAATCCAGCAATTTATTCTGGTATAGTATCCAAAAGACAAAGAACAGGATTAGTAATATTTGCAACCTGCGATGGTCATAGGCACAGCTCACTATTCACAATAGCCAAGAGGGGTAGAGCGAACCCAAGTGGTTCAAAGACAAGTCTGTGAACAAGGAGAGGAAAATTCGTGACAGTATGACTAGGTACCATGCTGGATGACCCTTTAGGAGCATCCATGCTAAGTGATATAACGCCAGTTACAACAAAAGACAAATACGTGTAGTGGATTTCACTTGTATGAGGTCTTCTGAAAGTAGTCGAAAATTCACAGAAAGACAGAAGTAGGAATTGTGGTTCTGCGCAGGACCCTAGGCGGACTGGAAATGTGGGTTACTGTTTCTTGAATGGCGGAGGTATAGCAGTTGCAGTTTGCCAGCATCGAAAGATGAAAGGTTCTAGAGATTGGTGGCACAATAAATGATTTCACTTCTTCTGCTGGGTTTGGGGTCGGTCTGTTCTTCTTTTTCCAGCTCTTTGAGATGATTCATTAGGTTGTGTATTTGTGATCTTTTCGACTTTTGGATATAGACATTTATGGAAATAAACTTTCCTCTCAAGACTGCTTTAGCTGTGTCCCACAGGTTTTGCTAACTTGTGCCTCCTTTGTCATTTAGTTCAAAGAATCTTTTGATTTTCATCTTGATTTCCTGGTTTATGAAGTGATCATTGAGCAGAAGGTTGTTTATAGTTTCCATGACTTTGTGTGGAAATGAGAGTTCCTGTTAGGGTTGATTTCTACATTTATTCCATTGTGATCTGAAAAGATACATGGTATAATTTCTATTTTTTTAAATTGTCTGAGACATACTTTGTGTCCTAGGATATGGTCAATCTTAGAGAATGACCCATGAGCTGATGAGAAGAACGTGTATTCAGTGGTTTTGGGATAGAATGTCCTGTGAATGTTAGTTAGGCCCATTTGTTCTAGAGTTTTGTTTAAGTCCATTATTTCTTTGTTGATTTTCTGTTTGGAAGATCTGTCCTGTGCTGTCAGTGGGGTGTTAAAGTCTCCGACTATTATGGTGTTGTTGTTTAGCCATTTGTTTAGATCAAGTAGAGTTTGCTTTGTGAAACTGGGTGCACCAAGGTTGGGTGCATATATATTTAGAATTGTTATGTCTTCTTGTTGAACTGTACCCTTCACCATTATATAGTGACCTTCTTTGTCTTTTATTACTTTTGTTGATTTAAAAACTTTATCTGTAATCAGCCCCATCACACCAGCTTTCTTTTGGCTTCCATTTGCTTGAAATATTGTTCTCCACCCCTTTACCTTTAGTCTAACTGCATCCTTGCAGGTTAGATATGTATCCTGAAGGTAGCAGATACTTGGCTTGTATTTTTTTTATCCATTTGGCCAGCCTATGTCTCTCGAGTGGGGAGTTCAAGCCATTCACATTTATTGAGATAACTGATAGGTGGGGCAGATTTCTGTTCATTATGTTGGGTTGAACTTTGTTGCTTTGTTTTCTCTCTTGAGCCACTGTGGTATCTGGGCTTTGATTTTTAGCTTTTGAGTAGATTTACATTCGTTAGTGTTTATTGTGCTGATCCTTGGGTAACACTGTTTTGAGTACTTCTTGAAGGGCTGGTCTTGTTTTGGTGAATTCTCTCAGTTTTTGCTTATCTGAGAATGTCTTGGTTTCTCCTTCATATACAAAACTTAGTTTTTGCAGGGAATAAGATTCTAGGCTGGGCATTATTCTGTTTCAGAAGAGTGAGAATGGGGCTCTCGTCTCTCCTTGCTTGTAAAGTTTCAGTAAAGAAGTCTGGCATTATTCGGATTGGCTTTCCTTTGTGTGTTACTTGCTTCTTTCATTTTACAGCTCGTAGATGGGCCTCTTTAGTTGGTATTTTGGTCAGTCTGATGACTGCATGTCATGAAGTCTTCCTGTTTGCATTGAATCTTCCAGGGGTCCTTTGAGCTTGTTGAACTTGTATATCAAGATTTTAAGCAAAGCCTGGGAAATTTTCTTCTATTATATTTTCAAATAGCTTATCCAACCCTTGAGTGTTTTCTTCTTCCCCTTCTTGTAACCCCATAACCCTCATTAGGTTTCTTCACATAATCCCACATCTCTTGTAGGCTTCGGTCTTTTCTCTTGTTTCTCTGCTCTATCTCTGTGACTGATTTATTTAGTTGGAAGATGTTATCTTCAATCTCAGAGATTCTTTCTTCTGTTTGATCTACCCTGTTCTTGAGGCTTTCCACTATGTTTTCTAGTTCCCTGAATTGATTCTTCATTTCCAGGAATTCGGTTTGATATTTCTTTATTATTTCAATTTCTTTAGTGAATTTTTATTCCAGGTCCTGGAATCTTTTTGTGTTTTCTTTGTGTTAGTTATCCAGTTTTTCTTGCAAGTCGTTGAATTTTCTTACTATACATGCTCAAAATTCTTCTTCTGTCATTTTAGTGGTCTGATTTTGGTTCATATTCATTTCTAAGGAGCTGGTGTTCCTCGTTGGGAATGTTAGGCTATTTTTTTTTAAGGGGAAATAAGCAGATGAGGCCAAAGGACAGGAAGTAATGCTGACCTCAGCTTGAAGTAAGACACTTATATTAACCTTTGAAATAAATGAGCTCTCAGGACTGCTCACTTGTTGCTATTAGACAGTGTTAGACAATGTTTTTATAAGTCTAAATTAAAATAGATCTGGCATAGGGTTCTATCTTTTTGAGATTAAGCAGTTTAAAGCTGCCTCGTAAAAGGGAACTTCTAATGCCTCTGGAATTAACTTGTGGATATGTTGGCAATGGCATCCTGCTCAAAGAAATCAGGTGATAGCAGGGAAGTTCAGGATGCTTGGCCTTGCATAAAAGATCTCTGGGGAGGTTTTAGTTTTTATTTTCTGCATTAAATTTGTTTTTAGTGGTGGTAAAATATATATAACATGAGATTTATTATTATAACCCTTTTTAAAAAATACAGTTCAGAGGCATTAAGTACATTCCCATTGTTATGCAACTACTACCATCTATCTCCAGAACTTTTTCATCATCCCAGACTAAAACTATGTACCCACTAAACAGTAATTCTACTCCTCCTTCCCGTAGCCCTTGGCAACCACCATTCTACTTTCTGTTTCTATGATTTTCAGTGCTCTAAGTACCTCATTTAAATATAGTCATATAATGTTTGTCTTTTTGTGTCTACCTTATTTCACTTACTGTAATGTTGTCAAGGTTTATCCATGTTGTAGCATGTGTCAGAATTTTCTTCCTTTTAAAGGCTGAATAATATTCCATTGTTTGTTTACCATATTTTATTTATCCATTCGTCTGTTGATGGACACCTGGTTTGTTTTCACCTTTTAGCTACTGTGTATAATGCTATTAATGAACATGGGTGTACAGGTTTCTGTTAGAGTCTCTGGTTTCAGTTCTTGGATACTTATCTAGGATTGGAATGGCTGGGTCATAAGGTAGTAGTTCTATTTTTAATGTTTTGAGGAATTGCTATACTGTTTTCCACAGTAACTGCACCATTATACATTCCTACAAGTGTACAAGGGTTCCACTTTCTCCACATGCTTGACAATTCTTGTCTGTTTTTTTGGTAATAGCCATCCTAATGGGTGTGAAATAGTATTTCATTGTGGTTTTGATTTGTATTTCCCTAATTATTAGTGCTATTGAGCATCTTCTCCTGTACTTATTGGCCATTTATGTATTTTTGGAGAAATGTCTGTTCAAGGCCTTTGCCCCTTTTTGAATTGGGTCATTTGTTTTTTTGTTACTGAGTTAAAGCTAACAAGTCTTTTGATTGGTTAAGTATTTTAAGGAGATGTTTGCTGTGTGGTGCCTTATAAATATATGCCCATTTATCTTGTTTCTTTTTTTTAAAATCTGTATAGCTAGATACAGATCTATTATAAATCAGTATATGTTTATTATTCTATATTGTATAATGTGTGATATGTATTTTTTGTTCTAACAGTATATCCTTTCGGGCTCTGATGACTTCAACCTGTACATGTGGAGAATTCCTGCAGATCCAGAAGCAGGTGAGTATATCCCTAGTATGAACCCACTGCTGTTGTTGGCTCTTTTGACCTTTGGCACGCTGTGCAATGAGACAGCAGATCTGTAGCAATAGATGATGATATTTCTCTTTGAACATAATCAGTTTATCATGAAAGTGACCAAAGGAAATTTTATTTTTTAAATGTTTTATCATATTTTGTGTGTGTTATTTTTGTTTTTGTTTTTAAGAGATGGAGTCTTGCTCTGTCATACAGGCTAGTGGGACGATCATAGCTAACTACAGCCTCAAGCTCCTGGCCTCAGCCTCCCAAGTAGCTGAGACTACAGGCATGTGCCACCACATCCAGCTAATGTTTTTAAAATTTTTTTAGAAACAGGGTCTTGCTATGTTGTTTAGGCTGGTCTTGAACTCCTGGCCTTAAGTGATCCTCTCACATCAGCCTCCCAAATAGCTATGAGTACAAGCTTGAGCCACTGTGTCTAGCCCAAAGGAAATTTTAAAAGAAAAATTAGAAGCCAGATTTAACTATAACCTTTAGATATAGCCTCACCTGACATAAATGATGCTTAGATTTTTTTTTTTCCTCCTAAGAACCTTTCTGTGAACTTCATAGATCTCCTTTATTTCCTTTATTTCCTCCCTTGTGTTTCACACATGGAATGTTTTTGTCTTGCTTTTCCATTATTATGTGTCTCCATATTCCTGCTTATTACTCTACAAATAGTTTGTAGGGCTCTTCCTTTCCTTTGGCCTCCCTGGTCATGTTAACTAAAGGGAGGCTTTCTCTGTTGATGGATAGCTACATTCCCTGGGGTTTTGCTGACCCCTGACATTAAAAAAATTAGGAAGGAATATTTCTACATTTGCTTTAAATGTATTCTGAGAAAAGCTTGCATCTTTCCATAAATTGTATCTAAGCCATCTGGTCATCTGAGCTTTCAAACAGCATGGGTCATCCTTCTTCATTCTTTCTTTTTCTTTTTTTCCTTGTTTTTGAGTACACACCATGGACTACTATTCTTGCTTCATTTTTTTTTTTTTTGGATGTAGAAGCTCGCGTTCATCTCAGTCCTCCCATCCCTCTGAGCTGCTGGAGCTCGGAACTGCTGGATTCGTCTTCAGGACTGGGTGACCGTGCCGGAAAGAGATCTGTGTCCCAGTTCGACCTCACAGCCATTCTCTTCCACGAACGGATTCATTGGAAAGGCCAGGAGGCGTTTGTCGAGGCCGCAGAGCAGACAAAACGCTGCTGGCGGGAGGCTGCATCCTCACCCACGTGGTGTGGTGGATTTGACGCCACTGTGTTTGTGGTGTGACCCGCAGGCCCAGGTGGAAGGCGTTGTCAGCGACTCATCAACTGTGGACGGGGAAGCGAGGCAGCGAGGCTGAAGGACTCTGAGTCAGTGTAGCCAGAGCGCTCATGACCCCGCGTGCAGTTAGGATAGTACTCTCACTGAGGTCAGTGTCGATCAGAGCTCCAGCCCTCGATCTCTCGGCGGACGAAGGAGTCAAAGAAAGGCCATCATCAGGGTCTTCCTGCACCGACGGTGGCATAGTCATGTGACAGGCCACTACACTGTTCAGTACAAGATGATGTACTCCTCATGTATAGAGGCAGCGGGAATCATCCCAATTCGACCATCGAGTTCCGGTACATCTGGCTGCTTATCATGGGCTCCAATCGCCAGAAGTTGAAAAACAAAGCAGCAGACTGATTGGAAAGTGTTCTGTAGCAGAGCTTCCCAGACCATCCTGTCATTTAGCCCAGGCTTGCTAACAACTTTAAAAACATGTTCTTTATCAAACTCCGGATCTTGTGTGCTACATACTGAAAACAGACTTCAGAGTCAGATTGGGGAAAAGCATGGCTAGGACATTGTATTAGCCTAGTGTCAAGAGACCCAAGTCCTGCCTCTAGGCCAGTAATCAATGCTGTTTCCCACCACAATCCCTTTTCTCATTGCAATTGTCTATGAGTCCCTGGAAATTATAATCATAATCTCGGAGGGTAGAGGATGATGAAAATTGCCAGTGTGTTAAAAACTCTTAAGAAGCGCGGCGTGGTGGCCTCACGCTGTAATCCCTAGCACTCTGAAGGCTGAGGCATGACGATCACTCAAGGTCAGGAATAACCAGCCTGCGCAAGAGCGAGACCCCATCTCTATTGAAAATAGAAAGAAATTATTGCCAACTAAAAAATATATTGGAAAAATTAGCTGGGCATGGTGGCATGTGCCTGTATCCCAGCTACTTGGGAGGCTTAGGCAGAAGGATCGCTTGACCCAGGAGTGGAGGTTGCTGTGAGCTAGGCTGATCCCAGCACTCTAAGCACAGGCAACAGAGTGAGACTCTGTCTCACAAAAAATAAATAAATACAAACTCTCAGAAGACTGAACTGTGCAGAGAGGTATCACTTTTCTAAAGTGAAAACAAGTCCAGCAGTCAGTCCTCGGAGACAGTTAATATTTCAGCCTATAGCTCTACCTGCTCCCCACTGCAACATTTCTATTTTAACTAAGAATTGCTTACTGGAGCTTGATAAGAATACGCCACTGCCTACACTGCAGTTCCCTCTTGGACATGAGGCATCAGTTACCGAGGAAACTGGGTTCTCTAACCAGAGAGCTGCTGTTGCTCCGACTGCGTTCTGTTTAACTGCAGGAATAGGTAGGACACATTCCTCAAGGAGAATTGAATGTGTCCACATCCATTAAATTCCCTCCACTCCATAATCAGGACTCATAGCTTAATAAGCAGCAGAACTAGAATTCAACTCAGGTCTGATTCAAAGGCTCACTTTACAGATTGGATAAAATTATACAAAAATCAAATTCAAGGTAATTAATGTCACTGCAAATGAAGGATGATTAGCTTCACTGACTGCCATCTGGTCCCAGAGCAGCACAGAGAAGCTCAGTTACATCAGCTGTAGCCATGGCAACTCAGATGAAATTCCAGGCCAACTTTTCTTGCCTGACAGGCTGGTGTCTATCTTTAGATGGATCCAACCAAGAAACTGGCCCTCATTCCCCAACTCCTCCACATCAAGACAAAGCTTTGTTTCCCCAAAGCTATCTAAGGACAAAGTCACTCCCCCGATGGGAATTTCTTGAGGCTCATTCCTGCCATGCTTTACTGGCAATTACTGGGAAGTGTATCTCTTTGAAGACCCCAGTTCAAAAAAGACTGAGAACCTTCTAGAGTTAGCTTCTCTTCCACCAATTCCCAACTCAGATTCATCCGTCTTCAACTCTTGTTCCCATAACTCTTCAGATGTTCTACCCTCTCAGCTTTATAATCTCAGCCAAGAGAGTTTAGGGTAGTGAACCTTCTAAACTTTGAAGTGCATAAGAATCACCCGAAGATTAATTACAGTGTTTCGGATTATTGATTCCTAATCCTATTTTAAAAGATTTGATTCAGGTCATGTGTTGGTACCAGACTATGATTTACAACCACTCCAGGGATATGTTAAGTGGACCAACTTTTAAGAAACATTGACTACAGTTACAAGCATAAAAATAAGTAGCAGAAAATAAAAGGATTTGTTGAAGGATCTTCAAATTGCTTTGTGAGACTCAGTTGTTTGGGAAACATTTAGACACAGTCTCTAGCACAAGGCTCAAGCTATAGTGACTATCTTGCAGACAGATGTCTGAGGGAATAAGAGTTTTGTTGACTTAGAAAGAACTGAGGGGTAAAGGAAGCCCTTGGGATGTTTTGGGTCTTATTCTTAATCCTGAGCCAAATCTCTCATATCCTCCCTGGTTTAAAATGGCAAAATATTAACCATGTTCCCTAATAAAATAAATCTAACAGAATTTTAAAAGAAGTGCAAAATAATAATGGTAAGATGCTGGCCTAGCTACTGCAGCAAGCAGTTTTTTAGTTCCAGGTCATTACTACCCAGCCCCCTACGTTTTCACCTCCAGGAATGAAAATCATAACATTGAACGTTCAGCTTTTGTTTGTGCTCTGGAATGTATTAAGCTGAGTAGACTGTTCATTCCTGAAGCTTGGAGTAATGGAACAAAAACAGGATCAGAGCAGGAGAACTAGAGTGTGGTCCCATCAGCTCTAGCTAGCTGGGTGATCATGGGTGAAAGCTTAGTCCCTTCATCTAAACAGGTGAATTAGATGGTCGCATTCATATAAGATTCAGAATGAACACCGCCACCACCCCCACCAACCAGACTGCCGTCTTCAGTCCTTCAGGACTCTTGGCCTAGACTGCAGAGCAGAAAAAACAAGTAGGGCCTCAACTCTACACCTCCCTGTGGCCTTTTAAAAATGGACTTACCCCCTTCCCTTTTTTTGGGAGACAAGATTTTGCTCTGGTGCCTGGCTACAGTTCAATGGTGTATTAAATAGCCACTGCAATAAACTCCTGGCGCAAGTGATCCTCCTGCCCTGGCCCTTTGGAGTAGCTGGATACAGGCCACGCCACTACACCAGCTTAATTTTTATTTTGTAGAGCACAGGGTCTCACTCTTGCTCACGGTGGTCTAGAATCCTGGCCTCCCAAGTGATCCTCCTGAGTTGGCCCTTCCAGAGTGCTAGGATTACAGGTGTGAGCCACCTGCACCTGGCCAACTTTACCTTGAAAGTCCTCTGTTTCTCACTCAGTGGAAATGAAGGATGATAAATAACATAGCTAATACCAAGCAAAATAAATTGATGCTTTTTCTTCATTTGCAATTAATACCTCAACCAGAATGTTTGAAACCTATTCAAGGAGACTTTTGAATATCAGAAGTACTGACTTGTCCCTATTAATCCTTTGTCCTTAAAAATCAATTTCAACCATTTTGGAAATTATTCATTTCTTTTACACCAAAAGTCAACGAGTTAAAAGTGAAGGCAATTTAAAAACAATCCTGTTATTATACCTATTAAATGTGGCTACCATGCCTTCTTCATGGGGCAAAGCCTCACAAGAAGGGAAGGGGATGACAGCTTCTAAGTTGTTAGCTCAAGGGCCTGCTGAGAAAAAAGATGCAGTTCGATTCTTATTCAAGC